CAATCTGAAATAGTGACTGTTTTCCATCAGGAATCATAACAGATCAACACCACACTAATCTCTGAAACTTGCCTGCAACGGCACTTTGGCTTCAGCTGCAACTTCCTTCATCAAGGCAAGCGATGTGCTCGTAGTGGCTTTAGCTTGATTGGGGTTGATCCAAGCCGTAGGTCCTCCATTAAGCGATATGTGAGAATTGTCCTGAATGTTTCAGTCTGCTTTCATCGTGTGGGTGGGGTCAGGCCTACCATGGTATATTCCCATTGGTGCATCTCTCTTTCTGAGAAGTTAAAGGTGCGTTGATAACAAGGCACAATGATTGGTCAGACAAGGAATGAAGCAGTATAATGTTAGGAGAAGGAGGTCAAGCGATCAGGGCATATCGTCGTCGGGGATACTTGGAGGCCGGGAGGGAGAGGAGGTGTCGTATTTGGTCTGTGAAAATTTTTTTGACAGTTGTTTTTCTTGTCTCCTGGATGCTTCAAGTGTGTGAAGGGGGTATCTGCTCGTTGTTGGGAGAGGGAGGGGGAGGGGAGTTTGCCTTGTGAAAGAATTCTCCCTTCCCCCCCCCCCCATTCCCGCTCGACAGCTCGATCGTATCAAAGGAGGGAACAAGGGACGGGCTCGTATCGAGCCATCTCTCAGGGAGGGAGGATTTGACCAAAATCTCCAACCAATAATATGCCCTGCAAGCGATGGCTCGACCACACCCTATCTTCTCGCTGGAACACTATCTCTTCGAGGTTTTAGGACAGGGGCCACCTTCCTATTCTGGAGGAGAGCGCAGACATGCCGTGGCGTAGTCGTGCCGCCTCGTGCCCCCGCCTCCTCCCCCCCCCTCTTCCAAATACTCTTCTTCCAGTTTATGATAATTCTATAACTGAAGGCTCACCTCTGACTTATCGGGATAGTTCGGATGTGTGGCATCGAACTGATTCACAGTTACCAACATGCTACGACCACAAGCTCGTTCAAAGGCTACTGGATCAGAATCAGTCGATACTCGTCTCAGAATGTGTTCAAAGAACGCTGACTTTGCGCCCATTTCTGTTGTCGAGCCAGTCTGAACAGCTTTCTTTGGAACTCTTCCAGGTTCCTTCAGGGTCCGGGCGCTACTTACGTTTTCACTGTCAAAACAGGCCACAATTCGCACGCCTTTCTCGCTTTCCAAACATCTTTCGTTTTCACACGATTTGATGAGGGCTTGAATTGCAGTGTAGGTCCCAACAAGATCGTCCAGACGACCACCCGTTAAGAACTCTTTGCGAATTCCACCGATTTTCTAAATTCATCTATTTCTATACTTAGAAGAAAATGCCCTGAATAAACATTCCTTGTATACTTAAATTAGAATTTGTTTATAGGTAGGGTTGTTTCAAGACATTCAACGAAATCAGCGACTGCCAGCAATTCAGGCATCGCGCGTTCGATGTGCGATTAATGCAGCTCGAAACATGCGTCATCATCGGCGAAGCTCAGCGTCGCAAAGTCTGAACGCGCGCGCCTAACAATTAGTCACGACGCGGCCGCGCGGATTACGCCCTCGTTGCACGCACTAGCGTTCCAGCTGCAAGATTATTTTTTCGCAGAGGATATCCAGACCAAAAGCGTTGTGCTGTCGCATTGTTATTTTCAAAAGCAGGCGAGAAACTGAGATACAAGCAAAAAAAGGAATCCACGACCTCAGTGACTGCGTACAATGTAAGAGAGGCACACAGCGCACAATTATGAACTGTACGACACGCTGCGAATTTTCCCGCCACCGTTCAGATGTCGCGGTGGATGAACACTAACGCTACCCATCCATTGGAAAAAGTTATTAGGTCTATATGGTAACGAAATCTTCGCTTGCAAATAAAGCAACTTGACCTTTTTAGTGTATCGTAGAATAAGTCCATGTCGGACGAATTTTCTCTGGTTCATGATGTCAGACAGCCATCGTAGCAAAATCAATTCTCAAAGATAATCTACAAGTGATGCGGTGCATTAATGCTCGGGGGGAGGGAGGATCACTCCTCTTCCTCCGGTTCCCTTCAAGAACTCGTTGAAAGATGTACAGAGTAGTTGAATGCGCTACCCTTGGGAGGGGCACTTGAAGGAATACATATGGAAAACTTGGATTTTACCACGGAAATGAGGACTTTCGTGGTCAAAGATGGAGAGTGGGGAGCTCCGGGGTTGACGAATCAATTCCAGCGGGGCAACTGTATTTCGATAACGTTGGCCACATTTTTGCGTGAGAATTCCCTCAGATATCCTTCCCTAGGGCACGATGAAATGCAATTGCCTAAAATACTACCATAAATATGAATTTTTGATTTCCCTAGATGAGAGTCACCGGAACTTGTAGAACCCCTATAAATGAATGGTAAGGTCACGCCCACATTTTGATCGTCTGCACCCTCACCGGCTCTCGCCAAACGCTATCTTAACGAGAGTGCGCAGAAGAGCTAATGAGCTTGCCCCTCCAACGGGACTACCACAGTGACCTTTGTTTCACACTAACTACTCCTATATTAACTCGATACACTGTCCTGTACAAGGAATCCTTCAAATGCTCCTCTATCCCCCCCTCTCAGCTGAATTTGTACATTCCTTCATACAGAAGAAAAAATAAAACAAAAATATCTGCCTGGGCTTGGCCACCGCTTTTCTCAGTGGACGAATTTCCTTTTTGAGTCACTTCGAAAAGAAGTCGAAAGTCGTCTTCCTCGTTGTAACAGACGGGATTGCTGTCCATTAAATGAACTGACAAACTTGGAAGGTACAGCACAGGCTGCATCAAATCGATGAGACGACGAACCAGCTCATCGCCCTGAAACTTGGCTCCAAATTGACAGAACACTTCACTTGTACTTCAGATTTGGCTGATGAGGGCGGATTTAGCGGCAAGTGGCCGGCCTACTGCGCCCCCGATCCTGGGGTGAAACTGCATCGGTTTCTGACCGGCCTAAGCAGGACTTGGCTAACCGACCAAACAAACTGTACCTCTCTCTGTTCTACCACAGTGAAAGAAAGCAACAAGAGGGACAGGTTTGGCTCCGCCCACATTATCGCGAAATATGCCTTCAGAAGAAGGCAGGGCACATCATTGGTTGGGGATTTTAGTCGAGTCCGTACGACCCCCCCCTTTTTTGGGGGTTGGTACGACCCCCCCCCTCCGGCCCCTCTGTCCCTCCTCATCGAATCGAGCCGTCGAGCGAGGGGGTATAGTACGCATGAAACAGGAAAATCACGAAAAGTCAATCACCACTCCCACCACTCCTAGAAAAGCCAGAAAGTAAATACGACCCCCTTTTTTACAACGTCCGTGAAGCGAGAAAAATCAACTATCAAAATAAATTTTTCTCAG